GCAATTTTCACCAAGGGGCACCCTTAAATATATTTTTACCACAAAATCAATTAAAACAGTGTGAAAATCTTCAAGCTAAAAAAAAATACTGCAGAATTCAAAATGTGCTTTTTGTGGGACACCCTATATTTGCAAACATTTACACTTTCAGAACTCAAACTCAAAGCCAATGATATGGCTAATGACAAGCTCCTGACAATGAAGGCCCCACATGCATAATTTGAGTACCTGAACACCAGAAGTATCTACAAAATATATAACAATACATGCAGCTGAAGAATTATTCATACAGAAATCTGACTTAAGAGTACTAATACAGTTCCTGCTAGGCCTAAACAGACCACCATATTAACAACGTTTCTAGCCAACTATGAAGGCAGCTAATTTTCTTGTTGCCAAGTCCTACATTGTATACACATCACAAGAGATTGTAACCTTTCTTTTCTCAATGAATGCATAGACCTGAAGAAAACCTTCCAACCAAGCTTAACCATGCTTGGTTTCCATTTCCAGAGATTTGTTGATTCAAACAAAAAGACATGGATGGGAGGCTTTGCTCACTCCATTGTAGAGAAAATATATTATAGTCAAAAGTCTTTAATCCGGACTCGTCGGGACTTCGGCAATTCCGGATTATAGATATCATCAATTTAAATCTGATAAGATGGCATGCAGAAATTATACAATTAAAAATATGAAACAGTAATTTATGAAATAAAGAGCAATTACAATCTAAAGGTTATCAAAATTTACAAAAAAAAAAGCTTACTATTTATTTGTTTACTTTATTAAACATTTCTTTCAACGTGTGCATGCATAAAGCATACATTACACAGAGTCGAAATTAGAAAATTGCAACCAGAAAACTATTTGATGTGTATTCGTGATATTTATAATGACGAGGAATTTGATTTTAATCATATCAAAAACGGAGTACACTGAGATGAAATAACATAAATAAATAAATAAGCCGAATAAAATAAAAACATCTGCCCTGAAGATAAGGATAGTGCTGACAGATCAACTTCCAGATCATTGCGCCGCGACGTCCCCAGCCCCCCGCAGAGCAACATGAAATCGATAAATAGATTTCGGAATGGTTACAGAAACAAAGGATTATCCATTTTTTGCAGCAATTCCACTTTTTGTTTCATGGACATTGAAACATGCTTTCGCTTTGTAGATCCTTTGGCAGCTCCAGAATCGGAAATTCTTTTTGACATAATCGAAAGTTCAAGCTTACTTTTATAAAATTGCTGTAACAGTCTGCAAAAATAATAAGCGGGATCCAATTAGAAGATTAAGGAACAACGGAATCTGCAACATTGACTGAAATAGGTAATTAGATAATTTTAGCATAGCTTATACCGTCCGTTATATATTAAACACGCATGCACAAACGTATTACGTGCATGCTTCAACACATTGTGCATTGAAGTTTTTAGCTTTGAGGTCCGGATTAAAGACTTTTGACTGTACTATATACAGTAATTACATATAAGAAATTTTAAAATATGTTGTTATAGCCATATGTAACAATATATATATTTTAAAATTTCTTAGATGTAATTACTGTACATAGTGTTACACATCATTAATTTTATTTAGCCCAGAAATGCAAATGCAGTTTTTTTTTTTTTTTTTTTTTTTTTTTTTTTTTGGTAGACCCAATGATATGGCAGCCAACTCTGCTTCTGAAAATGATGTCTAGTTCAAAGTCAAATCCATATGTATGAACCAACTAACACATTTTCATGGTAGTTCTATACAACTAGGTTACAACTAGGGTTAAAATAATCTGCAAATCCATTTCATTTATTTATTTTTACTCAAATTAGAAATGCACAAGTTATGAAATTCGTGTAGTAAATGAACCATAAAATTACGAAAATACACTTCTAGCTTTCATATTTTCTAGTTAATCAACAACATCTAAGTATTAAACTTTTATTTTTTTTTTCTATAGTTAATAATTCAATAAAAAAATTTCCTTGAATCAATGACACTCTTTAAAATGTTTCTAAAAGGTAATGTAGTGAAAATCATCACTCACCTGATGTCATATCACATACCTAGTACTAAATGTCAAATTAAAATACAACCATCAAGTGGACAATTACATGCAAAATATTTTACTTCTAATAAGTCATACTTTAAAATACTTTGCAAATAAAATGATGAAACATATTTTAAAGAAAGCCTAAATATGTCACAAGCATAGCTTTTTCTACCTTCATTATATTTAAATAAATAATAAACGCAAAGTAATCTCAGAAATGGGCAAGAAAACACTTACTGTAATTAAAATGCAGATAACACATGTATGAAAAAAATTACAGAGAAAATAATTCATAAAGATATTTCATTAATTTTCCATGTCACATTATCAATCTCTATGTTTTCCATGTCACATGATCAATGTCTGCACATCAACTAATCTACACAAAAAGTTTTCGGTACTATTCGGTTTCGAGGGCCATAAAAAAATCGCCAAACTATTGTTGCTGCCAATGCTGCGAAAAAAATAATTGCGGCAACCATAATAATTGCGGCAAGAAAGGAAGTATAATAGTAAATAACTATTTATGATTGATGTTTTGATTTAGATGAAAGGTTAATTTCATATAATACATTTTTATTATTAAAATTTATATGAAAAAGGCTAAACATGACTGAATGGAAGCATAAGAGTAAATAACTATTTTAGATCATTATTATAATTTATATAAAAATTGCTAAACATAACTGAATGGATGCCTGCATCGCTATTTCGCTACCGACTTATCACTAAAGCATAATTTCATCTTGTTGGTTGTTCAAATGTAATTTTCTATATTGAATGATGCCTTTTCTTGGAAAATATTCTCGGTAAAGTGTGGAATGGCTCACTTATTTGTTTGCCGCTTTTCACAAGGGTAAAAACAATTGGATTTTGTCAATTTTCTTTTACTTTTTAAGTGAAAATAGGTCGATGTGTACATAGATAAAGTTAAGGGTATGTGCAGTGCCATTTTTGTGCAATTCTAGGATTTTTTTTTTTTTTAAGTGAAAATAGGTCGATAATTGTTAAATGGGCGCGTTTGCTAGATTTGGCGCTTTTGCGTGTACGTTTTCGCTGCAAATTTTTTACAGCCCTCGAAACCGAATAGTACTAAGTTTTCTTATACATTTTCTTTATAATAACTTTACTTGCTTCTGTTCTAAATATTAAATGTAGATGTTTTATTACTTAAGTAGCCTCTAGCTTTCCACTTAGAATGAATCATAGAAGTTAATAAAGAATGACTCATAGAAGTTAATAAATTAAGAATATTTTTAATATAAAAAATCAATAAATCTAACAAACTCGTAAAAATAATGATCAGTTTAATAAATAAATTATTAATCTTCTTAATTTAACTACCCCTGTAATAATATACAATTCATTTTTAAATACATCTCTCAAAGTAAAAAAAAACATTTTTAATTTAAATAACTAAATTTATATTCATTGTCGAAATTTATTTTAAAGAAATTTTCAACAAAAAGTGAAAGTATTCTGCAGATGTCTAACAAATTTAAGGAGTAGCCAAACTTCATATCAGTAAGAGCTGCATGTTAAAATTCAGGTAAATTCAAGAGCCGCAATAAGATTTCCAAAAAACTACAGGTCCATATTTATATCATTTTAAAAGTAGTGAAATAGATTTCAAAACAGAAAGAAACATCTAATAACTTCGTAAAAAGAAATTAAATAAATTAATTACTTTCTTTTGGATATTGTGCAGTTTTAGTTTACCATGTTTCATATAGATATTTTATTTGCATAAGAGCCACACCACTCACCTACGACAGCCATATAACGGCTCTCGAACCACATCATAGCCACCTCGATATATGCCACAGATATTAAATAACAAAAAGCAACAATTATAATTTTTTTTGAAAATTACATTTAACGAACTGATATTAGGAATTCAGAGTAATTAAAAAATTTAACATTCCTAATACAGGTTAAAAGTTTTACAGGAAACATATCTTTCAATTAATTAATATCTTAAAATAAATATTATATACTATGAACAAATGAATATTACGAAAATTCTAAAATAGTCTAATGCTCAGCTCATTTTTTAAGAAAACAAAAATTTTAAATACGTGTGTGAAATACCTAATACCAGAATATAAAGAGCAAAATTATACTTTTCCTTTAAGAATTAATGTAAGACTGTTTATTTATTATTTAGATAAATCGCATTACAATATGTTGAAATGTTAACAACGGAAGAACTATTTTTATTCTACCTTCAAAAAGCAGTATGATTAAAAACTATAAATTCAGTTACATAACACTTTGTACGAGCACAGAAAAAAAAAACTATCAGTAGCATATTATCTCCATATTATTTTAGCATATATTTTCAGAAAACCCTCACACATAACTCTTATTTATTATGGCACATTTAAATTTTAAAGTATACGATAACTGCGCGTTAATAAACGTCTGATAAATACTAACAAAATATTACTTAATTTTACCAGTAAATTAATTAAAGAATAAGCAACACCGAAACTACTAGTAAAAATTCAATTAAAATTCCCTTAATGTAACTTTTGATATGCTTCACGAAAATTGTCATTAATGAAAAAAATACTTATGTCAGTTGACACTCTTATACTTAACTATATCAGTATTAAATTTTATACAATTAAGAGCGATAAAAGTATTCAGAAACTGAATTAATTCAATAACCTGCAAATTCATTCAGATACGTTAATCACCTTGTCTTATACAAAAGCTGTTTGACATAACATTCAACATCTGGACATCGCACAACACTTTTAGCCGTAGATTTTTATATACTTGACGAGCAGCAAGAATAAAAAATTAAATTACCTTTTACAGACAGTACTCATGTTCGAAACCAATAAAATAAAAATTTGGAAAAAAGCATAACAGACAGATGTTAAGAAATTCTAGTACGTGTCACTTTGTTAAACAGACCTGTTTGATCACTTACCTGAATATAAATATTCACTTTCATTTTCATGTAACACAGATCACACATTACAAAACACGAAATTCATTGCACTATAGTTATTACACATTCTTTTTTTTTTTTTTTTTCTTTAGAAATTTTCCAACTTTTTGCTCACGTTGACGTCGTTCCCTTCGAAACCGAAAGTACCATCCCACACGAACTGTCAACTTTAGCTATGTTGACGTACTAAGAAGAGGCAATCACATTTCCTCTGGTCACAGACGAAATTGTACCCTGAAACTTATCATCGATTAAAATTTTATAACTGTTTCTTTTCACCAATATGACAATCAGATGGAAGAAACTATGTATGATAATATTGTCGAAAATTAATAACATTCCACAATTTTAGTAAGTATTTGTACTTCCAAGTTAATGTTTCTGTTTTTTAGACTAACAAAGAAATTATTTCATAAATATAATTATTTTTATCGTAAGTTACATATTCTGAAAATTAAGTATAAATTCATGTTCCAGAATATCAGAATACAGAATATAAAATGAATAGTCCTGATAATATTGGTTAAATATTTCTTTATCACTGTAACTGTATAGACTGCTTAGAGTCCTGTAATTTGGCGCGATCACCGAGGCAAGCGGCAGCACGATCGCTGCGCTCCGTAAAAAAGTGCAAAAATTTCCTTTCCTCTTGGTGATTATCAATTAAATTTCTTTGAAAAATTTTTTTTTTTCTACAACACCTATATCATTCCAATGAATTTCGACTCCGATGTTGACGAGAATAAAACAGCGGACAATGTAAGGATATACTCCAAAAGCCTGGAATTTTAAGATAAGTACTTTTCTTTCATCTAAACTAAATCAAATTTCTATAAATAAGTGCCTTTAAATCAATAAATCTTAATTTTTCATCAGTTTAAAGCATTAAAAAATACTTGAAATTGCCATTGCTTGTGGCTTCCTTTGTGTATCAACTCCAAACAGACGCCAGCGTTATCAGTTCACGTCTGTCAACACTTACAAAGCCCTTAAGGAATCTCGAGAGAGGGAAAATTTGGGGATGAGAGGGATAATTTGGGCATCGCGCTATTTCCCTCTCGGATCTTCTGGATTCTCTTTTCTTTCTAGATCGCTTGAATATAGTTTCGCCTTTAAATAATATTATACCTCACCGATTTTTTCTCATACTGTTCTTTGCTATCTGTTAAATGTCCATATGTAAGGGATGGTTTATTCTTCACCGCCTTAAATAAATGAATTTTAGAACTATGAGCTTATATAAATAACAGTGTGCCTCATTGTGTTATACTAACATTATTTAACTAGTAATAAATTATGATAGTAAAATAATTAATCTTGTAATAAATTATGATAGTTAAATTAATAAATACTGTTTAATTTGTGTTTTTAATACATATACTCAGTAATTTACACACACAACATATATATATATATATATATATTATTTATTTTTTTATTTTTTTTTTTTTTGGGTGTGTGCGGTTGTGGTCTTGTATTGTATATATGGTTCTATGTTGTTAGTCTGCTGCTGTTTTTTGAAAAATGTATGAAAATGTTGAGAATGAAAGTAGCATAAGTTACTTTGGTTAAATTAATATATACTTTTGTTTGATGACCTTTGTTGATATCTCAGGATGCAAGCATACATATTACTTTATATTCCATGCTAAATACCTTGATACGAAGCATTTTAACACCGTCAATATTTGTTTTTTCCCCAGTAACACATCTATTCACCATTACCAAACACACTCACTACACACACACACACCTGTGAGACACTATTTATTGTAAATGAAGACAGTTTCTTCTCCTTTTAACTACACTCATGGACACAATCGTATTTTAGGATATTTTCTACTTCTTTTCCTTTTCTTTCTATAGGCCCTTTTTTTTTTTTTTTTTTCCCCTCTATTATTTTGGGCCATTTATTTTTTATTTTTCCATTTATTTTAAATTTTTTTGTCCCATCTTTTCTTCCTGGCCTTTTGAACTCGTACAAGATGTACGAAGTTCCTTTTTACTCTCCTCAAATACGAAATTGCCCCTCTTTCTTATATACCTTTCCTTCGCACCTATGCTTTTTTTCGCCCATCGGTGCAGAAAGACTTAGCGGGTGCAAAACAAGACATCTGTCTACTTTGTCTGTCTGTCTGTCTGTCCTTAGGCGCTGCGATCAGAAAGCTTGTCTAAACATAGCTCCGAAATTTTTTAAATAACTGTTTCAGTAATTTTCAACTCTCTAAAAAGTTTAATGCCTTTCCTATGCAATTCTCATTCATCAAATTGAAAAAGGAAACTTCGCTTCTTCGAAACTTCAGGTGTTTTGTTAGCTGTTTACTATCAACACGAGAAATCTAAAAGAGGCCCTGACACGGAATATTCAGATAAGTAACATTCTGTTCTCTATACATATATGTTTCTCTATCACTAGAGTGCAATTAAATTTTTTATTATTATTTTTCATAAGATTCTAGCATTATACAATAGTTAGTAATAGTAGCAAGGTCATGTGGTTCTTTTCTTCGTAACTATTCCGTAGAGACGCCACATTCCTTATCAGTAGTCCGTTCTTATCAGCAATTCACACCCTTTCGGAGGCCCCCCTCTTCGTGCTTAGGAATTTCTTGAGAGGGAAAAATGGGGATCTCTTGACCATCGATGAGTATAGATTGTGGATTTTTGTAACTAAGATCCCCGACTTTTTTTTTTTTTTTTTTTTTTTTCAGGTCTCAACTTGGAATTATGAGCAAATAAAAATACAGTGTGACGGAATTATTAAACTTGTACTATAATAAATTACAACGGTTAAATTAATAAATTATTTTATATTTAACATAATAAAGAAAAAAAACTGTATAATTTATTTTTGCTGAAATGCTCTCACACTGTGTATGGATTTATGATTTTGTCAATTACTGTTTTCTGAAATATACATGAATTTTTTTGGGAACGGTAATATTTAATGTTACTTTAGTTAAAATATTATGTACATCTCTGTGATGATATATGTCTTTTCTAGTTAGGTCTCAAGATAAGGGCATACACATTACCATGTAGGAATTCATTCATTATTTATTTTTTTTTTTAACTTAGCTAAAGTTTGCTTCTTAAAGACACTAATTTTTGCAGATGAACTCCTTAACTACACTCATGGACACAATCGTATTTTAGGATATTTTCTACTTCTTTTCCTTTTCTTTCTATAGGCCCTTTTTTTTTCCTCTCTATTATTTTTGGGCCATTTATTTTTAAATTTTATTTTGTCCCATTTTCTTTCTGGCCTTTTGAACTCTACGAAGTTCCTTTTTACTCTCCTCAAATACGAAAGCACCTATGCTTGATTTTTCGCCCATCGGTGCAGAAAGACTTAGTGCAAAACAAGACATCTGAGGAGGGCGCTGTGATCATGTACGATGGAGGCAGGATCTTGGAAGAGCTCCTGAATTTTCAAAGGTGTTTTCCAGAAAATCTTCATTTATTTAAGAAAATTTTCGCGAATATCCTCTGCATTGTCTCGTTCTCAAGGCCGGGAGTTCTCCTGTACCTGGGGGGTCTTGTCTTCCTTGCAATCTTTTGCAGCACTAAGACGGAGCGTTCAGATAAGTAGAACTTCTTTTCTCTAAGCTAAATCAAATATCTGTCACTAAAGTACCTTTAAATTCATTTATTTATTATGATCATTATTATTATTATGCTCATTTTATTATGTTCTGGCATTAAATACTTAGTAATTGCTTTAAATCATGTGGTTCTTTTTTGGTTACCATCTCGTAGGGACGCTATCCTTATCAGTAGCCCTTATCAGTAGTGTTAGCCCTACCCATTGGGGCCCCTTTGAGGAATTTCTCGAGAGGGAAAAACACGATCTCGGGCCTCAATGAATGTATAGAGTTGTAGTTTTTGCTCCTTTAATCTATATTTCCTATCTATTTAAATTAAAAGCATATATTAATACAGTGTGCCTCAAATTGATAAAATAGTACACATATAATAAATTATGACCATTAACTTAATAAATAAATAAAATGCTTATTTTTTTAAAAAAATTAATTAATAATTAAAAAAAAACTCCGTAATTTATTTACTTATTTATTTTTGCTGATATGTTCTCGCCTTGTTTTGGATTTATGATTTTATCTGATGGTGTTTTCTGAGTATATAAATATGTTGGAAACCGCAATAGATGATGTTACTTAGTTTAATGTATAACTTTGCATGATATTATATGTATCTTGATCTTATGTGTCTTCTGTTACTGTGTCTCAAGGTAGAGGCTAATATTGGTTTCCATGTTAAAAAATAAAAGTTTAAATTTTAGTTTCCCTGTTATAGCAAAAGTTAGCTTCTAAACTTGACTTATACTGTTATGTGACTGGACCCCCCAATATTTATTATTTATATTATTAATTTTCCCCCATCTTTACATCTATTCAGCTTTACAAAACACACTCATTACACACACCTGGAAGACTCTATTTAATGTAAATGATAACAACTTTGACTACACTCATGAACACAATCGTGGGTTTTTTTTTTTTTTTTTTTTAACAAAATTCTCTTACTTCCTTTCCTTTTCTTTCTATAGGCCCTTTTTTTTTTTTTTTTTTTAATTATAAATAATTTTTTTTCCTCTCCATTACTTTTGGGCCATTTATTTTTTACTTTATTTTGTCCCATCTTTTCTTCCTGGCCTTTCGAACTCGTATAAAATATACGAAGTTCCTTTTTACTCTCCTCTGAAATACGAAATTGCCCCCCTTTCTATATACCTTTCCTTCGCACCTATGCTTGATTTTTCGCCCATCGGTGCAGAAAGACTTAGCGGGTGCAACAAAAGCATCTGTCTACTTTG